CAAGCATAGTATAAACAATCTAACTTTTGAAGAAAATCCATTTATTAATAATTAAGTTCATCTGAAATACTTAGTGGTGAACCTTTTACATCATTATCAATCTGTTTTGAAAGTTCAAGTCTAACTTTCATTATTTCCTTATTTTCTTTCCTTTGAAGTGCAGAATCTTATGCTCTTTTCTTTTTTTCTTCATCTTCTTATTCTTTTAAATCCAGATAAGGACACTATTTTAAGCTTATCCATTTTATAATAATCTAGCAAATGCAGTCGAAATATTCTACTTAAACATAAACGTATAACAAATAGAAGTTTGGGAAAACAATTTCCAAAAGTTTCAAAATTATCGTCTTATTATGCTGTTTTTTTATTAATGCTTATACCGACCTGATTTTACAAAAAACCACAATCTTACAATTCCGTATTTGTGGCATTGAAGTTGCGCGGCGGTTATAAAAAATGTCCGAACATGATTTAAATCTTTTATTGAAAATAAATAAATAATTAAAGTGTATAAGTACCTCTAACACACATAACAGTAACGCGCGTAACTTTTCGTTACGTGTGTTACCTTGAATAAAATTAATTATAAAATTTTAACTATTGGCAGTTTTAATTCGAGAATTTTTTCCGTTGCATATCTTGCCTTCTTAATTTATAAAACAAAAAATTTTTAAATTTTCTTTTTTACTAAAGTTTTTACAGAAAAAAATGCAAAATTATGTTACGTGTGTTACTGGGAAATTAGACTATCTTGATTAATCGACTTTCAAACAAGCAAAAAAATTTAGGCCAAATTAAAAAAATACATTAAACAATGATAAAAGAGTAAAATAGTTATATTTATTACTAAAAACTATTTTATTGCTCTTTAATATTTTAAGAACTCCATTGGAATATAACATAACAAAGAAGAGAACTCCTGTTAAAATTCATAGTGTTCCACCTTTTGTTAGAATTCACATAAATATTTTTTGTAATTCAAAAAACTATCTTAACTATTAAAAAATGTACATCTTCTAGATTCCGAAATTGTGTCATTTTTGATTTTACGATAATTTTGAAAATTTAGTCACTCAGGACCACTTTTCGTGGAATCGCCCTACTAAGTGCCAATTTTAAAGGCTCAAAGGGGTAACTTTAAATACGCTAACTAATTTTTGCAGATAATATTTTAAGTTACGAAATCAGACACAAGAAATTACGTTTTCTGAAGAAACATACCTTAAACTAATGAATTAGGTTAACATAACAACTCATACAGTGTGTTACAAAATTACTAGACCACCCTAAATATCACTCATTTTTATGGTACACTGCATAAAATCAATAACTTTAAAATAATGAAGCAAATGAAATAAGTTATATTTTATCAAATAAATAAAAAAGGGAAGAAAAAAAGTTAGTTTAACACTGCAAACGATTTTTTAAAATGTAGGTATTACACCTACCTACTGAGGTGTTAGTATAAGACCACGCATTTTTTTTCAAAATTTTAAGCTTTCAAATTCTTTTTCTTTGAAAAATCGTATGAAAAGTGTATCTTTGCATCGTAAAAAACGCAAACTATAATACTATAAAGAAAATTAGAATTTAATTTATTTGTTTTCATGAGAAAATTTACAATGCTTCGCGGAAAAGAATTATCCGAGCTAGAAGTTCCAGAAAAATTTTTTTTTTCAGTCAGAATGTGAAAAATGTAAGCTAATTAAATTTTCTAAAAATGCGTTTTTGTAATTGTTTCAGTAATTTAGTAAATAAAAAGCAGAAAGTAATTAACATACTTTAGGTCATACCTTTGAGAAATTATCAGTTGTCCTTAATTCGTGTAAATCAAATCATTAGAACAAAAGTTATTCATTATTTTTGTATTTTTATTTGTGCACTGTACACACAATCTGTGGACTGAAAACGAGTGTCGTTAATCTGCCAGACTTACTAGGGAGCGTCGAGGGTTAATATGTGTAATCAGTTTAAAGTCATTTTAACAGGCAGCGCAGGTTCCAACGTGAAATACTCATTAAAATAATCTCAACGAAACAAAATAAAATCTTTGTTATAAAAACACACTCAACCTCCAATATCATGTTATTAAAAACATAATTGTTAAAACTAAAATAGTATTCAAATTTTATGAGATAAAAAATAATATATGGATAGCAAATAGAATGAGATTAACAGTCTAAAAATATAAAATTCTTGCAAGATGATTGACAATAATTATCTTGATGCATTCAAATTCTTTTGCTCAAAAAGAAGCCATTGTTTTGATATCTTGCACAAATGGTCAATTTCAAAGTCACTTTCATTTTTAACTTACGTCCTCCATATTTGAATATCAATGGAAACAGATATGAAGAAAGTTATCCCTAATCTGACAGAAAACCAATATTGAAAAAACTATGAAAATTTAATGTTTGAATAGCAGTTTCCTGTGGTTATTTTATTGTGCTTTAAATCTTGTTCGAACATTGACCTTTCGAAGAATTATCACGCTTTTTTTAGAAAAAAATTGACGACCATAACTGTCTTTTTTTTTCTAGATTTTTTTATTTATAAAAACCTGAAAAAGTTTTATTCATAGTGAAAGTATCTGTCAAATTATGGGGATAAAAATAACTTTTAAATGGATTGTATTCTGTTGCTTTTATTCATGAAAAGGCATTGTTATATTTTGTGTTTGAAAGTAAAGTTTTATAGTTTTATACTAAAACAATTTGTTTTTATTATTTTGGCGGGGAAAAAATTCAAAAGAAACGGAAAGTTTGCGTTTTGAGCAGAGCTGTGGAAACAGCAGTTACAATGTTCGACTCCAACTTAATTGTTCGATTCCAACTATAAGTAAGCTTGACTCCAATTTATCATTGAAAAAATTACATATCTCTTTTTTTGCTACGAATAGTAATTAAAAGCATTTTATTTACAATTACATTTTACTTAACAATTAAGGAGATAAACTTTAAAAAAATATATTTGTTCAAAATATTGAAATTTCACAAAACCATTAGATAAGAAACAAGCCAGATATCAATGTATCACTCTCATATTCTTTAAATACATGAAGATGTTATTGTAACATGAAGTCTGTAAGAAACTATTAAAAATGATACATTGCATTCAGATTCACTTTCTCATCTTTCTATTTAACTTTTCATCGCAGTTAAACAGACCTAGATTTGGAATTTATGAATTCTTCTTGTATTATATTCTTCTTGCAACCAAGGACTTAAATAAATTTTAACAAACTAGAGTCGTAGTCAAGCAAATTGTTTCGACTCCTGTAAATTTCCCATGACTTGGACTCCTTAGTGCTGGCTAAGTTTAACATTGTGCTTGCTTTCAAGAGTGTTTTTTTTACTTATTTATTTATTCATTTGCTTTTTTTTTATTATTTAAGAACAAAATGATTCCTCGTGCACCACTGAAAAAGTACAACACGATTCTTACAAACGTAAGTATGGTAGCAAACAATGTAGGATATTTAAACAGAAATACATACTAAAAGGGCATGTAAAATTTAGAAAAGAAAAATAATAATAATAAAAATAATAATAATAAAAATAAAAAAAAAATAAAAACATTTACAAAGACGATGAGAAAAAAGAAAAATTAAAATAGTACACAAATCAAAGTGATTTATAAATTTGCATTAAAAACTGAATCAATGAATTTGCAGAAAAGTTTGAAGATGGTTTTGCTTCCCACAAAAGTGCGAAGAGGGGGAGCAAAGTTAATATTGAGCAACTTTAAGGCAATTATTAAGTTTTTTCTATTTTTCTCAAAATGTGAGCATTTTACAATAAATTGCTCAACGTCTTGTGTACCACCAATATTGCAATCACAATCACACAGATCACTGGAAAATCTTTTCAAGTATGCCTTGAAGTTGCCGTGTCCAGAGAGAAATTGCGTCGCATGAAAGTTGCAGAAAAAATGTTGGTTTTTAAGTCTTTGATTAACAGATGGAAAGAAGAGTTTAGTCATTGGAGCATTTGTAGAAGCTTGATATTGTTCATTCCTCACAGTTTGAACTTTATGCCTGGCTGCAAGTCTAAAAAAAGATTTTGTGGGACTTATATCACAAATGGAATCAAGATTAGTCACTTGTTTCGACGGAAAGTCAGCTCTTTCATTACCCAGAACACCAGAGTGGTTTCGGACATGTGAAAAGAACACAGATTTATTGGATGTTTTCTGCTTAAGAAAGGTTCTCACTTAGTTTTTATATTTATTGACAACGGACGTTACTGTTAACTAAGAAAGAACTCTATGTCTTTAAAATAGAAGCAAAATGGCCAGCGACAAAATTAGAAGTTATTATTATTTCACTGTAAATATTTCTTTTGGTCTGACAAAAGAAAAATCTTTTATTTGTTTTTTTAATCATTTGTTGATTCACTTATTTCCAATAATTGATCAGAGATATATCTTGTTTCTTTTTTCCCTTTCATTTTTAAAATAATTTATTTTTCAAATCGTAGTTCAATTTCTGGAACTATCTCATACTAAAATCAAGATTGACAATATTTAGTTGTAAAATAATAATTTAATAAAAATGCTTATTGTAAAAAGTAATGTAAAGTGATTCAAAAGAATATAACGCAAAGTTACAATTTAAAATATTTTAACATTGTTGTTTAGTTCATAAAAGAAAGAATAAAAGAAATGATTATTACTTTATATGTGATATATATAAATTGAAGGATCGATGTAATGGCTGCCCTCCCAAAGTGGTTTATTCACTTTTACTTTTGGGTAAATTGCATTAATGCCAACTAACTAAATTCAATGCACTAAAAAGAGGATAATACTAATTCGGTGGGTAGGTGGGTTGCGTCCATATATGGTAATGGAGGCAACGTGTTGAATCCGTGTATATGTCATCGTAATTTATTAAGAAATTCGTTGAAATAACATCATGCATAAAAATTCCCTTTTATGTAATTTTTACGTATAAAGTTGTTTTTAGTTCAAATTTTTAATTTGTTTTCTTTGTTTTTCAGATCTGCAAAATCGTTCTTCCTGTTCTTTGTTTATGCATAACAGTCACACGTAAGTACTTAAAGTTTATTTTGTAAACACAATAATCTTGATTAATGATAACTGATTGTTTTTGATATATATAATAAAAATTTGTGTTGATAGTGAGCAAGAGGAAAAATATTTATCCTAAATCGGATAATTAATAATGAAGTCAAAAATCCTTTATCGTTTCTCTGGAACTATTTAAAGATCATAAACAAACCTTTTTTTGCACATAATTATAAAACTCGTTCATTCAAGGAGTAAAAAAATTAAATTTTAATAATTGTTTTTTGTTATTCCTTTTAATGAAGATTTAAACAAATTTAAATTTTTAGAAACACACATTTTTATTTCATTTTTAACAATGTAACTTTAAATGATAAAAAAAAAATTTGAACAGAATCGGTCAAATAATTCTTGACTTTAAAAAAGAGACTTTTTTTAATATTATTCATCGTTAAAAACGAAAAATTAACGTTAAGAAGCTCAAACTTTTAACGCTGTTCTTCTTCCCTGACTAGTGGCCATGGTGTTCATCGGAATTTCAGATTTCCCTTAAAGTTAATTGGGGTTCCAAGAATTCGGATTTTTTTTAAAAAAATTTCAGAAACCTGTAATTATCTTTATATAGAATCAATAAACCATTATTTACTCTATACTTTCATTACTTTTACGAAATTATTTGAAGTAAAAAGAGAGTACATAAGAAATGGCAATTTTTTAAAAAAAAAATCTAATTTTTGTAATGAAATTCCATTAAGAAAATTATTAAAAAAAGATGCATTTCCAAAATAAAATGCATTAGTATTCATCGAACTTATGAAATGAAAAGAATAACTGAATTCGTTAACAAATAAATATAGTTCTCTGAATAGCCATTTTTAATGTTTAAAGCAGTTTAGCAGTATGTTTTTTTCATTTCAAAGACATTTTTAACCGACGTTGAACTGCCGATCTAATTCTGAATTAACGACTATCAATATTCAACTCCGTAGCTCTGTAACTTTGATCACAATCTAGAAGACAAGGAAACTCCTAGAACAAGCATTGGGACAAACTGACCACGGAGGACTTTTTGATGGACCTAACCCGCATTTGCGTTACAAGGAGAGAAAAAACATGAAAATCTCTCACTGTGAGTCCGAAAGTAAAAGGATTCTAAGCCATGATCCTTCTATCACTGAGGATATTTTAAGTCAGCACCGTGGTCGGTCACACATTTTACTTATTTTTTTTTAAATTTTATATCCGTCGTTGAACATCCGGTCCAGTTTCGAGTTTACCACTATCAATGTATAACTCCGTAGCCTTGAAATTTTGAACCCAATCCAGAAGGCAAGCGAGCTCTGGGATCAAGTATTGGGCAAAATTGTGGCTTCGTGGAGTACTTTTTGATGAAATAAACCTGTCTTATTGCGTTACAAAGAGAGGAAAACCACGAAAACTTCCCACAGTTAGCTTGACGGTAACCGTGATCCGTCTATCACTAAAGATATTTTCCGTCATCAATGTGGTCAGTGTGAGCCGGGTGAGAAATTCGTATCGACCAGACATCGCTGGGATTCGAACCCAGCTTATCTCATTGGGAGACGAGCATTAAATCCATTCCTCTTAATTTATTTCATATTTCATAACCGTCGTTGATTAGCCGACCCGATTTGAGTTTACGACAAACCAATGTTCAACTCCTATTGGGTCGGCTGTTTGAAGACGGTTATAAAACAAAATAAAATGGTCAATTCCGTAGCCTTGTAATTTTGAACCCGATCCAGAAGTCAAGGGAGCCCAGGTATCAGGTATTGGGTGAAATTTGCCTTCGAGGAGAACTTTTTGATGGAACTAATCTGCATTTACGTTACATGGAGAGGTAAAACCACGAAAACCTCCTACGGTTAGTCAGACGATAATGGGACTGTAACCCGTGATCCGTCTGTACCAGTAAGGTAGATTAGTGCTTTATTTATGTTTCACTAGAGCTGCACAATGGACTTTAGGCGACGTTCTGGGAAACATCCCTGAGGATGATCCGAAAACATGCCATCACAATTTTTATCCTCAGCAGAGAGGATAGCTCCCCTGCTTGATAGCTTGACGATCTGAGCGCAAAGTCTAGCACTTTACGTTAGAACAGTTTAACGATAACTGATATCGCGCACCCTCGGTCCCTACGCAGGCTGATCAAAGTGGTCACCCACCCGCTTACTGACCGTAGCCAGTGATGCTTGATTTCGGTGTTCTCTTGGGAACCATGTCTTTACGATCTGTCCACTGCGAGAACTACCAGTAAGAATATTTTTCTTTAGGGTACGAAATTCGTATTGACCAGACATAGCTGGGATTCGAACAGTTGTCTTATTTTATATTTTGATAATAAAGTAGTCTTTTATTTTTGTTTGCATTCACAATTGTCTTTTTATACATTATTTATCAAAGTTGGTCGCCAAAAGATCGTTTAGAGTTCCATGTCTGAAAGAAATTAGGTTTAAACTATTGAGACCCTAGTTTTTAGATTGTGGCTACCCCCAAATTTTAAGGGTCAAGAATCTAAATCCACAAAAAAATAATAATAATAATAAATAAATAAATAAAGCAAAATAAAGAGGGTTATAATACAGAAAAATTAAGCTGTTGTTAAATTTTGCAATGTATTGTCTCCTATAAATAATTAGCATATTTAAAGTTATGTTAAGATTGAGTTTAGGTACGCGGAAATCCGACATTTTTAATAAATTTGATATTAATTTTATTTTCCTCACACTGTACATCAAGCATGCTAATTTCTGAATCGTTCCAAAAATCACTGTAGCAGCCAATTCACTTAATTGTATATGTAACATTTTTGTACATGTAACGCGGTGTTGTGTTTACCTCCTCTCTCTCTCTGTCTTTGAGATTGCTCTAATTTTATCACCGTTATAAAGGAGGATCGACATTGTTGAATAACTTTTACGTGTCGCATGGACATTCCCCACAAAAGTAGACACGCCCTTGAAAAGGAGTTCGGACCACATAGATTGTTTTTTTTTTCTTTTGGTGCCAATACACTTTCTGAAAGTTATTTCAAGGACAAAATATTCAAGGCCTTTGGTGTAGCATTAAATTAAAGAAAATGGAATGATATATTAAGAAGGGGGAAAGAGAATCATTGCATATATTTTCAGGGTTGAAATTTTTATCCAATATTTTATTCACGATTTATGGTAGCAATCAGTGTCGCAATTGTTTGTCAGAGGGATTTTCAAAATTGAAATAAATTTTTTTCTTTCTAAAGGATAGAATATTTGTATCCGGTTCTTTGTAAATCTCCACCGCCATTTTGCAATGTGAAATGCTGATACGAAACTCAGTATTTTCTTATGACCCTGATAGTTTTCTCCCTACTACCTTTAAGCATTGGCGTACAGCGAAAGTGGCCAAAGGAGATATAACAGCCCCAGTCAATTTGGCATCCAATAAATAACTAAGGACCTAAAAACTTTATATCTATCACTGTTAAGTAATATAACTTTCTAACAGAAAATTATTTTATGAAGGATTATAATATGATTCCGAAATATATCCAGTAACAAAGTCTTAAAGCTTTAGAATACTAAAGATAAATATCACTTATAAAATCAAAGTGATCTTTACACAAAAAAGAAAAAAAAATAATTTGTTAGAAATGTCAAATTCTGTAGTAGAATTGCTGCGAGTAGCAGAGCAATCCGCATGGTATATGTTTCACTACATGTTAAACAATTAATAATTCTCAAACTACCTTCCCTTATAAAAATTATTTATACCAGCCCAATACATCTTTCCACACACTTTTGTATTTTCAAGTTTCTAAGTTTAATATTTTCTGCGTATCCAAACAAAATAGCACCGTAAGTAAAGTAGAGCACCATTCGTGCCAATAGCTTACTGTTTTTAATAGGCTCAGAAGCTTCGTTCACTGCTCGCTTCGCCCACCAACCAGCGTATTTGCTTTTCATTCATCATTGAAGATCAGTGAAGAACGATTTAAGTCCATTTTCTTACAAAAACTGCGATTGAATTGTCATCAATTGCATTTTGAGGATTATTAAGTTTTGATAAATCAATAGCGTGGAAATCGACCTCTCCGAGAGTAATTATTCTGTGAAGATTGTGAAAGAACAGTTCCTGTCAGAGCACAAATTCTTTTTTCTTAGAATCAGCTTTCTCATGAACAAAAACCGTTTTTTCTCCTAGATCTTCTAGAAAGTTTTTTTTCTTAAAAATTTATAAAATAATTTAAAAATTTCAAAAAAAAAATGGAATCAACACGAAAAAGTAATCAATAAAATATTGGAAATATCTCACAAAAATCAGGTTTGTATAGTCTCTGCTAATTTTCCAAGTATTCTGTTTATTTTATATAAAGTTTATCTTAAAATGTGTTACAAAAACTTTTTTTTCAAAAAATTTTCAAAGTAATTTATTTGGTGACATTGTTATTCGAAAACATCTGCTTTCTTTAAAATTTTTGTTAGAAATCCTTCCGACGCATGTTAAGATAGACTTTTTATAAAATGAACCTGGAAAATTAGTCGAGGCTATATAAACTCAATTTTAATAAGTTACACTTTACTGATAGATAAGTTGTTGTTTTATAAGTATTTTATTTCATACTTTTTCGTTTTGCGATTCATTAAGTTGTACATTATATTCCATCAGTGTTGGAGGCACAGTTATGAACACATAAACACGTGGTTTCAGATAACTTTAGAAAGACTAATTCGGTGAAGAAGCCATTCATGACTGAACTTAACATGAAAGAAAT